CCTGAAATTCAATTGGTTTGCGCCACAATAAAGTCATGTGACCGGAAAATTTTTTGTGGTATAATTACATAGGTTGTACGTATATTGTATATCACGTGATATACGGTACGTGCAAAAATCACGTGATTTGGTACGTGTCCGTAGACTGGGCGATAATTACATAGGTTCATAGACGTCGACTTGTCATATGAGCGATTATGTTTTTATATAGGGGTACTCTAAAACTAATATAAATAATTGTGTAACGATCGATGTTACAGTTGTACCACATCAGCCAATCAAAACGACTTTCCATCATGCTTAAAAGAATATACTGTAAATGGGTTTTATAAGCTTTAAAGATGAGCAAAAAAGGTCCCCAGTTTCATTTTAATCCAATTTCATTATGATCTGCAACATTAACTAATACTCTAACATCAAAATTTAAATTTGATATACATGTTATATTTACATTTTTGTACTGACCAATATGTAACTTTAATCATTGCAATAAAATTCAAACAAATAGCAAATAAAAGCTATTTGTATTCAAACATCGCACCCAAGATTAAAGTAAATTTGCTCTCCAATTCTTTAACGACTTTATTCGTCATAGATAAATAATCGTAAAAAAATTTATCTATGAAAAAGTGCTTTTATCAGAATTGTGTTGATTAGCGTTAGTAAAATAATGTTATTAATGAGCCAAAATTATAATGGTGACGTGACCCTGGAAAATTATGGGATCTTAAATTATACAACGATATTACCGTTACTTTGAATCGACATAGTACGGAGAGGAATTCTCAGTTCGATAATTCTACATTTCGGCTATTCCTTTTTTCGACAAATTTGAACTACTGTACAACATACTAAACGCTGTATACCCGCCCCGATTTTATCGTTATGATATTTGCATATATTGAATCGATAACAAACACTCTTCGATTCGTGGCTTGTAATTTAACTTCTAATCTTTTCATAAACATTTATTTAATGTGAATGCATAGATTCATTTTTTTGCCCTTTTTGAAAAACATTATATAGTACGGCATTAAATAAACATTAAAAATTACGCACTGTAAAGTTGTGAACCCAAATTTTATTTCTTTACGATTTTTTACATATTACAAGTTATTCCAAAAATTATTTCTAAAAATATCGTGTAATAAATTTGGGTGAAAAAGAATATTTGTAAAAAACAAGGTTTGTATAGGAAATTTTGCTCTGTTTTCTTATTATATTATTATAGGGATTACTTTTGTTGACAAAGGATTCTACTTACAAGCCAGGTAAAAAAAAAAACTTTTTTTAAACATGATTCACTAATAAACATAATAGGTTCAACTAATCACTATAATTGAATTTGGTTTGAACATTTTCACCATATTGATTAGTTTTGTGAGAAATCCCTTTTCGTTAGTGGAAAAAACATTTCGTTCTCTTTCTTTAATTACAGTTCTAATTATCAACATTAACTTTCATTGAATAAGTTCCGCACCCTTTAACCTTACAACACTTAACCCGACTTTTAATTTTTATGTAATAGAGCTTTAAAGTATTCCTCGAACACTTTTAATCGTCAAATTCCTTTAGGCACTCCATTGTATTTGTAACGAACTGGAGTTATTAAGTTATACTCAAGGTACAATGGGGCCTAAACCCATTAATTCTAAACCTGTAGGTCAAACTATAGGGAAATACGTAAGTTATCTCCCAAATAATTTATTATTTTTTTTTTTAAAAAAAAATTTTTTTCATAAATCACATTCGATTAATTCATTCGACTAAACTTAGCAATTAGGTGAATGTCTTGGAAAAGGTGCTGTTAGTTCGGTATATAGAGCTTTGAATTGGGAAACTGGAGAAGCTGTTGCTGTCAAACAGGTTAAGCTTAGTAGTATAGCGAAATCAGAATTGACATTTATAATGGTAAGCTTTGCCCTTAAGAAAATTAGCAATAAATTTGTTATTAATCAAAGAATACATTTTTATGTTTGGATTTATGAAGACCGAGATTGAGTTATTAAAGAACCTTAACGTAAGTCTTTCAACCTTGTAGTGGTTTTATTACATAGACCTTTTGTTAATTTATAATTCTTAATCGAGTAGCATCCAAATATCGTAAAATATAAAGACTATGTCAAATCAAAAGAGCATTTGAATATCATCTTAGAGTAAGTTATTGCAATGATGGGTTATATGTATATATGCATGTTTATATCGTTGTAATAGTAGACATGTTTAAAATACTTTAGATTTTGCGAAAATGGATCTCTACATAACATTTGCAGAAAATTCGGAAAGTTTCCTGAAAACCTCGTCGCTGTATATATTAAACAAGTTTTGGAAGGTTTACGTTACTTACATGATCAAGGCGTTATACATCGAGATATTAAAGGTGCAAACATCCTAGCAACTAAGGAAGGTCTTGTGAAACTTGCGGATTTTGGAGTTGCAACGACGAAAAGTGATGCGAATGTTGTTGGTTCACCATATTGGATGGCTCCTGAAATAATTGAATTGTCAGGTGCAACAACTTCTTCAGATATTTGGAGTGTTGGGTGTGTAGTTGTTGAACTTTTGGAGGGAAAACCTCCATATCACCACCTCGATCCTATGCCTGCTCTTTTTCGAATAGTTCAGGATGAACATCCTCCGTTGCCAGAAACTGCATCACCTGTGGTTAAGGACTTTCTAATGCAATGCTTTCAAAAGGATAGTAATCTTAGAGTTTCAGCTAAAAAATTACTTAAACATCCTTGGATAATTAGTATTCAAAAAAAGAGCGGTGACACTTTACAACAACCAAAAGTACCAACAGAATATGCAGAAGCTGTAAAAAGTGTACAAGAATGGAATGAGGCTTTAAAAAGTGCAAAATTCAAGCCTTCATCACCATCTCATCGGCGCAGAAGAAGCGAGTCTTTAAGATTAACAGCTACTATGCCGACAAAATTATCAAGGCATCAATTTCACCACAATTCACCTTTTGGTAATAATAATTCACCATTATTGTCTGCATCTCCACCAAAAATGCCAGATTGCACACCGCAAGTCGAGAATTGTGATATGGTAAATTTAATACCGTTTAATAATTCTTCGGATTTGATTACACCATCTTCAACATCAACAAGTCAACAACAACCTAATCGTCTTTCAGTAACTATTGAGCCTGAAGACGAAGGAGATAATTGGGACGATGATTTTGTGGATTCAATACCTTTCGCAAAAATTGCGGATATACAAAGTAAACAATCGAACCATAAGTCATCCGATGAAGATGATGCACAAACAATTCGGCCAATTCTACTTAAAAATGGACGAGATAAAAGTAAAAAATTATTGGCGTCTCGTGATGATAAAGATAATAAACTATTTGAGAAAAACCCTCTAGATAGTAAAGAGGATAATATTCAAAAGAAAACGCCACGAAATAAAAGTTCCAAACAGCAGGAAAGGATCCTTCGAGAAAAAAAACATCAAGAAATAGCCACAAATAATAAAGAACCAGAGAAAGAAAAATTAGAGAGAATTGCAGATGATGTAATTGAGAATAAGTCTGAAGAAAAGAATAATGGCTGGGAATCCATGCAGGATACTGTTATTCATATAAAATTAAAAAATTTAAACAAATTAAATAACATAGAAGACACCAAAGTGTCGCTGGCCAAACCACCACTTGTTTCACCAACTGCCAAATTCATAGATTCATCAAAGAATAATAAAACTAGACCAGAAAATCCAGCATTAAAATCGATAATTAAACATCATACTCGCGCTCATAGTGCCAATTCTATACCAAGTCCAATTAATTCTTCTCAGAACGGAACAGATGTCAGGGGCAGTAGACCACTCCCACCATTGCCAACACACAAATCGACATCGTCGACGGTATCTGCGACAGCAACCAGTCTACCATCGAGAAGAACTAACTTGTTTCAGCCGGTGTCTCAGATCGAAATGTCTCCAAATCAGCAAGCTTTTAATAGAGTTCTTCCAATATTGTCCCCTGAGGGAAATCAAGAAGATTCACAAAATTCAAATGAAATTCAACAATATTATGAATCAGATGATGATGATTATAATAAAGCATTTGGTGAAGATGAAGAAGACGGGTTTAATAATACGTTGAAATTAAACACACTGCTTTCAAGTAATAGCTGGCTTGGAAACGACAATAGTGATGAAGATGACCCTTTTGCTGAGATGGAGGAAAATTTTGATGAAATGGATATAAATGTACATATTGCCAGAGATAAGTATGCGCGCGCTTGTTCGCGATTGGAAGAGCTAATCAATGCTTTACATCCTAATGAAAGCGAGGATCGATTGGTAATCTCATGTGTTCAGATAATTGATTTATTGACGGAACATAAAGAGCTTAAAAACCATTTTATCATCTTTCATGGTGTAATTCCAATCATAGAAATGCTAGAAATATGTTCATATGCAAGCGTTCTTTCAAGATTACTCAAAATAGTTAATATTATTATTGCAAGTAACATTAATCTTCAAGAGAATCTCTGTCTTGTGGGTGGAATACCCGTTATTATGAACTTTACTTCGAAACGATATCCTTATGAAATTCGTGTAGAAGCTGCAATATTTATACGTCAGATTTGTCATACTTCACCTGTTATTCTTCAAATGTTTATTTCTTGTCGAGGTTTAAAAGTTCTTGTCGAATTTTTACAAGAGGATTATACCGAACATAAGGAATTAGTATGGATAGCGGTGAATGGAATATATGGAGTATTTGAACTCCAGAGTCCAACTCCAAAAAATGATTTTTGTAGATTACTGGCGAAAAATGGATTATTGGACCCATTAGCTGTCATGCTTCATCACGTAATTTCGGATAAGGATCCATCGGCTGGTGTATATGTAGAGAGAATCGTTAATATATTTTTAATGTTCTCACAGGGTGATGCATATGTTAAAGAAGTCATGGCAACACGGACAAGGATTGTCACTAAAATATTTGATAATTTGGACAAATTACCACCAAACCTTATTGTAGCGATGCTTAAATGTATAAAGAATATTTCAATGAATTCAAATACTTTAGAAGCTTTACAAAAAGCAAAAGCAATTCAAGTTCTTACTGCAATCTTAGACAAACAAGGACCACCTTATGTGACTGAAATTTCAAATCAAGTACTTAACACAATGTTTAATCTTTGTCGAATTAATAAATCAAGACAAGAAGAAGCTGCCAAGGTTGGAATTATTCCCCATTTAAAATATTTTGCATCTAACAAAACACCTCTTAAGCAGTTTGCATTACCAATACTTTGTGACATGGCCCATACTGGACAAGTTTGTAGAGATTTGTTATGGAAGCATAATATTTTACAACTTTATCTTGATTTATTAGTTGATCCTTTCTATCAGGTGAATGCTTTAGAAGCTATTCTTGCATGGATCCAAGAAGAAACATCAAAAGTTGAATCCGTACTTCTTTTACCCAAAAATATTGAACTTATTTTGGAAGCGTTCATTATGGCTAAGGCGAATTCATTTGAGAATATCCTGGAACCATTGCATATAATTACTCAATTATCAACATCTATCGCCTTTGCACTTGCACAGCCAAAATTCTTTAAGCGTCTATTACACCGACTTGGACATCCAAAACCTGTCGTAAGACTAAATTTATTAAGAATATTAAGATCTATATGTGATGTACACCCACAGCGTGAAGCTATAGCTGAACGATATGGATTATTTGAGATCACTTCTCGTATGAGCAGAGAAGATCCTGCTGTGTTAATACGAGAACTTGCAAGAGAGATTTTATCCCAAGGATACTTTTCTACTTCAATAACAAAGAAAAACTCTAATAATGAAATAGCAACTAACAAAAAAGAACCTAGAATAATAGAAGAAAATGATACTAATCTCAGTGATATAGAAGATAATGATGCTCGAGATGACATTTCATTGCAGGAAGATATCAGTTGACTCGGGGCGGTTCAGATGGATCAACACCATCTGAACCACAAACGTAATGGCAGAATAACCACACAAACATCGACTAAAGGATCTCGAAGACGTGCATTATCATCACCTCCATCATCATATACACCTTCTACTTTAAGATCAACTACACAACGCCCGTTATCAGTGTCCTCATTATCACCATCTATTGTATCATATCAACAAGGAAGCAAATCAAGCACATCATCACAATCAATCAAAACACCTCCATCGTCAGTTACATCATTGTCGTCTTCACGAAGGAAACATCGAATGTCTTGGTCATCACAAATACCAGTTCCAAATACAACTAACGTCGAAGATTCAACCACTGAAACATCAACAAACACACTTAATGAAAACGAGTCAAGACTTCAACAAATAAGTTCAACCTCAAACACATCTACAGCATCATTGGATTCATCATTACCATTTCCATATCAACATATAAGAAAACGTGATAGCTCTAGAAAGATCAGGGCATTATCACATAATCGAAGTTATAACAGCCAAAATATTAATTCAAATGAGATTGCGGAACACTACCAAAATCGTGAAAGTCATTCTACTATAAATTTAAGTTCGAGTGGCATGAAAAATGTAAGTGCAGCAGGAAGCATGAACGGATCAGTTAACAGTTCCTTTTCTAAATCTTCACATCCTGGTGGTGTGTTAGGTTGGTTGAAAAGGAGGGTTAGTAAGGATGGTAGTGCGTTGGGAAAACCCGGAAAAACAAAGGGTATTAAGAAAGCAAATTCGAAAAGTAAGTTGCAGGAGTCCGTTATAATTCTTAATGATGAAAAGAGCGAGGAAAAATAATGATGAAAATGAAAAAAAAAAAAATGCGAATGACTAAGATTTAAATTTCTTTCATTTCACTCCTTTCAAAAAAATTTTTGAAAGAAATTGAGGTCTTCACATCTAAAAAAAAAAAAAAAAGGGATAAAAAAGAAAGAAAAAAAAAAGAAAAAAATAGCAAAAAAAAAAATATGCATATTATTTATTTATACTAATTGCAAAAAAATTAATTTCACTTTTTTTTTTGCGCTTTAACTAATTGCATACGCATATACATTTAGCATTTTGAGATGTTGTATTATGTGTTGACAGCAGCAGTTGTATTTTAGGTGTATTGTTTAGGAATATGTATTGTTTTAGTACTATGTGTTGACAATAATTTTAATAATGAACAAATAAAATAATGAAAATAATATATTTTAAGATATTGTTTATTACTAAATAATTTATTTTTAATTTGACTACATATAATATTTGATCTGCCATAAATCTATGTATTTCTAAAATATAAAGAGATGTGCTATATTACATTATAAGCATTAATATGACGGATAACATCTCGGCCGTTTTTTGCTGATGATGCAATTCTTTCAACCCTATGGTTATGTTTCTATATCGTTGCACTTAAAAATGCCTTAAAATTCCTTGGATGTCCCATTCTGGGAAAACATCGTTGTTCTTTATTTGTCTCAACGTTCGCCTCTAAACCTTGTACTTCTTGTTGGCATTGCTCCTCTTTTTCATTATCTTCATCCTCAGCTTCAACTGCCCGTTTATCAAATTCCCTAATATCTGAAAATTCTGGGTTTGTAATTTCAATACCAGTGGTATTAGTGTTCCTGGTCAAATGGCTACCAACGTAAAGGTCACAATCATAATCCCAACTGCTTAACCATTTTGAATTTTCACAACTAGATTTTTCCCATGTGTTACCGTAAGCTATTGGTGAAAATAAAATAAAAATATAAATGCTTGCTATCAAAAATATTGTAACAATGATTGTTCGATTTTTAGGATTAAACCGATCTGTTATTAAATCAAATCCTACACCAATTAAAAGGATCGCAAAATATAATGAAGGAAAATAATATTGTAAAAATAATTCTTTAGACATTAAGTAAAATGGTAAATAATGTAAACACCATCCCATGAGAAACACATTGGACCATAATTCAAAATGCTCTCCTTTAACTAATTCAAAAAAAAAGACGAGTTATTTGATTCACGATTAGTCAAGCATAAATATACATTCGTTTTTAAAAGAATATAAGAATATAAGATAATCTTACCATTAAATCGATCAATATATCCTCTTTTTACTCTTAAAATTGCAATCAATTTCTCAACAACAAAAATAAACACGATAAGCGTAGAAGTCCACCATATAAGCGGGTTTCCAATTAAATAAATTTGATTATGTTCTTTATTCCAAAAACCGATACCGCGCTTCAACAATATCCAAGACGAAGGATGGGACAGATAAGGGTGAAGAATATTAGATTTAAAATTTGTCCACATCACTTTATGAAGCTCAATAAATTTCCCAAAGAATCCGAGTTTTTTATAATTGACCATTTTGGTGTCGCTTGATACTAATAAATAATGATTTGACGAAGAAATGTATTATAACCATAAATCGATAAAATAGCAGATATCAAAAAAAAAAAAAGTAATCACTTACAATTTGGGTGAGAATTTGTTTCTATATACCATATTGTGTTTGTATATGTTGCGCCTTTTCCACAGGTAACTTCATGTTGCCTAAAACCCCATTCTGGTAATTTAGTACTATGAGTGAAAAGATAACACCCGGTATTAATGTGAAAAAGTCGGAATTTCGTGTGGATTGCACGTAAGCGTTTACTAGAATCTGGATCAGATTTGTCATGATCTACTATTTCTACACGCCATAAATCGTTATTATCTGAATGACCTTTACTTCCATAAACACTAAGAGAATATTTATTAAAACAAAAATGAGCAAACAATGTTTTCTCACATAGAATTATTAAATCTTCTCACCTAACTTCGTTTTGATGTTCAGAATCTGTCACTAGTGGTCTGGTGTCATGACTATGTAGCCACCCTTCAGTATAAACGTGAGAGAGACGAATTAATGCATTATGATAAATCCAGGATGGATTGGTTTCGAACGGCATTTTAGGATCACTTTCTTTTTGGATGATCCATAAATTATTTTCATCTTTAAACGGATATGAAGTAACCTGTTGTTCTAAACAAATCAATTTTTGATGAGTGAAAATTCTATCATTTATTTTAAGCAAAAGTAAAAATAATACTCACGTCTGCTACCTGAGGGATAATAATGCCTATGGGAATGTAAATAACCATATCGTGTATTGGAATGTCGAAGAGTGATTGTAGACCCGTACCCAACATCTGAAACAAAATTTTATGAATTCCAAATAAAAGGAATTTTCAAAATAAAGAAAAAAAAAATACATGTAACAACCTATAGGCGTATCATTCATGCCATGTCCATTTAATGTATGTCTGAATTCAGGACTCATGGATATAGCATCTTCACTACTGTTTTCAAGTATTGAGAAGTGAATCGCAAAGACAAGCGTATACAAAATGACGGGAATAGCCAATAAACACAGCATTCGAGCAAGAAAATGGTTTGCCCATCTTATCTATGAGAATGTGATATGTTAAAACTAAATGGTGTTACTTGTAGAAAATAATGTAATATGATTTTACATACTGGAGGCAAATGTAAATCACCCAACAAATCCCATAGATCCTTTATTGTCAAAAGACCAATAAAAACAGTTGTAAAAAAACCAACCCATTTGATGCTATAATTTAATTAAACGACATTATGTTTATGAATACTACAAATTATTTACTGGAAACCCATTTTCTAGAAGCATACCTGACCGTAAGGCCAAGGCCCACACCAGTCATTGTCAACCAAACCCACCACCAAGTTCTAAATGGTCTAAGAGAGTCGAAACAAAGTGTAAATACAAGACATTTAACATGAATTAATTTAAAAAAAATACTGAAGTATCGGTAAACACACCTTTTTTGTTCATTATGAAATTTTACCCACATCAACATTGTAAATGCTGTGGAAGCTATCAACGGTGAATCCAATAAAATAAGTCTGCTTTGAGTTACTAATCCGTTCTCTTTTGAAGAAGAAATCATAATATATTACCAACATATTATAAATTTTATTACAAATTTAATACAATTAAACATACCAAATATTAATAAAGCAGAAACGAGAAATGCAGCAGTTGTCGAAAATCCAGATAATTTAATTGTCAAATAAGAGATCGGTATTATAAAAACCCCCAAAATTCCTGATATCAGACGCATTGTCACATATGGATAATTAGATCCAGAAAATTCCCTATGTTTATGGTGAATATAAAAATCAGTAAATGCAAAATTTCAAAAAAACAAATAGACATGCCAAATTTACTTTTCATCCAAATTAAGGATTCCATCGTATCCACTCAAGAAACCCGAAAGAGCGATGAGCAACTTTGCCAATGGTGGGTGCACATCAATAAAGAAGGTTCCCCTGATATATTTCCTAAGAATAAACAATGGACAAATTGAATATCAGATTTAAAATGAATCCTTAAATACAATTAACAATAAAGATGTGAAATTCTTACGAAGCGAGAGTCATAAAATGCTTCTCATCAAATCTGGTATATTTAAAAAAGTGTTATAATAAAATTAATGAATCAATGAAATGAGAGATTGATCTGAACTAAACTATTTGCTTACACAGCCGAACTTGGATGGTCCAGACGATACAATCTTACAATGATAGAAACGACAATGAGCCCGAGAAAGCTACACATATCGCTAGTAGATATCCGTGTAAGAAATTTGGGTATGCTTTTCACACCATTCTCTTTTGTGCCGTACATTAGCAAATCATCATCCAGTAGGTCATGTATTGATGGTGAGTCAGGCTCTTTGTATCCATTTTTTCGATGTCTTATATCACCCAGACTCACAACGGATGTTGAATATCGAACTAAAATTGTAAAGACTAACTATGTAAGACTTTATACAACATGTACACTGAAAACGCGCGAAATTATTCATACCCGGATTGAAGATTATTTCATAGTCTTCGTTATTTAGTTTATAATCCATTTTTTTTTATTTTTTATTTTTTAATTCCGTTGAGATTACAACGATTGCTATTAAATTTTTCACGTAATTCATATTTATTCGTGTGTATATGCGTGTGTACCGAAGAGTAAATTAAAAATCACCAATCAATGTATATGTACGCACTTACCTGGCATGCATGTTTATTTCCCTATTATAGTCAACAATAAACCGTTAAATTAACTCATTCCTTTTTTAACATTTTAGGTGACATTACATTATTCTCAGTAAACAATAATTTTATTAAAAAAATCTGTATAGTGCTGCTCAAACAAATTCGAGTACGTAGAGGTCTGCAAACCCTGTCAATGTTTTGGTCTCCATTTTTATAATTTTTTAATAGTGGTGAAGATATATTATATGGCACTATATATATCATTTATATATTGGTTTTTTAACTAAGTATATATTATACGTAAATAACGAGGTTAGACTCAAAGCCAGCCTATATAAATTCTCCCGATATAGTGAATTTACTAATAAAACTCTCGATACAATATTAATCTTATATTTCAATCAATTGTTTAAAAATGCCCAATATGACACTCAAAGCATCACATCAATGGATATTTGTAGAACTAATAGCTTAAGCATACTATTTTTTATTTTTCGTGATCTTCGTTATGCCACCTAAAAAAATATAATAAAAGAATTTCTATTCGACCAGCTGCCGAAACTTCAATTTCAGTTGCGCCGGCTTCTCTTTTATGATTTTACCAATTTAAATTTTTATGCATTCATGCATGCACATGGTTTGGTGGTCTATATTTGATTATAACCGTCCTGGTTTAGAAAATCAGGATCAGGTGTAATACAAAAGGAAAAAATGCCAGGAACGTATAATTCAAATTACGAAGTGTATGTACCAGGAATGTAGTAATGAAAATTACGAAGTGTATGTACCAGAAACGTAGTAATGCAAATTACGAAGTGTATGGTTTACAGACAACTAGAATGGCAAGTGTACAAAATCTGGATTATGATTGGATAATGGTTGGAATATATAAAATGTAATACATAATAAAATGTCACATAAATATATGTGCATGTATAGATGTGTAAATTGTGCAAAGGACAAATGTGTTTGTATACAATATATTAATGCTCTGCGTCATTCATAAAATTCTTCAATTTTCAATTAACACATGTTATTTTCAATCTCTACCGATTGAAAAATTTCATCTTATACTGTTATATAAATAAACAACCTAATAATCAAAATTTTAGCTTAAATAAGTGAATTTTTTGTAACTTTTTTCTTCAATAATAACCATGAAACCTAAGATATAACTTTTGAGTATTGAGTCTTTTGATCGATTTTGAAAATCTATGTTAGCCAAAGGAAAAATAAACATTGATTAATGAATAAAAGTCGATAGGATAAGTGTTTATATTTAAAAAATCCAAACCTTACATAAAATCCGAATTTTAACATTGGGTACTCATACTTTCATAATTCTAAATAAATATAGCTTGAGAGCTTCGTTTAATTAAGCAAGCCGATGACAATTTAGGGGCAAATTTGTCCAGTTGAAAACTTTAGTAAAAAAAATTAGTTTAAGATACAGTTATATCCCACAGCAGGTCGAAGAAGCAATTCACAAATGTAAAGTTTGTATCACTAGACAAGCTTTCAAAAAAAAAAAAAGTTCCATCAATTCGACCAATAGTTTCCGAAAGTTTTTCAGGCTATGTACGTAAAATTAATTTTTCCAATAAATACAGTAATTTACAATAATAATTTGATTTAATATTGTATAATATAATGATCAACTATTTGGGTAAAACAACCATTTTTCTACAAAAAAATAAAATAAAATAGAAACAATCATTTTGCTGTATATAAATTTTTTTTTTAAAAAAAAGAATAAAACTACTAGAAAACCTATATGCTATGTTTCTGGTTTAAGTATGACTACATCGTGCAGCTATCCTAATTATTAATATATGTCGCGGATGATGGTGAAATCGGATAATCGTGAAATCCACGTGACCCGGGACCCCAGGCCTCATCATGTCACACACGAAAGATTCCGAATATCGTGTAACATG